TACTACAAAGCCACTGTGATAAAAACAGCACGGTACTGGCAAAGAAATAGGCCTGAGGATCAGTGGAACAGACTGGAAGACACAAAAACAAATGCAGATGTACTCAGCTACCTCATCTTTGACAAAGGAGCTGACCATCCTCAGTGGAGGAAAGATAGCCTCTTTAATAAATGGTGTTGGAAAAACTGGATGTCAACCTGCCACAGATTAAAATGAGACCCTTATCTTTCGCCATGCACTAAATTAAAATCCAAATGGATTAAAGATCTAAATATTAAACTAGAAACATTAAACTTGCTGGAAGGTAAGTTAGGCAGAGCTTTGGAAGACATTGGTATAGGAAAAGACTTTAGGAACAAATCCTCAGTAGCACGGGAACTAGCAGATAGAATCAACAACTGGGATCTCATCTTACTAAAAAGCTTCTGTACTTCAAAAGAAACCATCAGCAGAACTAAGAGATAATCTACAATGTGGGAAAAAAATTTTACCAGCTGTTCCTCAGACAAAGGACTATTATCAAGGATATATAAAGAACTCAAAACAATCAGTCCCCCCAAATATAAAGACCCGATTCAAAAATGGGCATCCGAAATGAATAGACATTTCTCAGACAAAGAAGTAAAAGCAGCAAGAAAATATTTGAAAAAATGTTCCACATCACTGGTCATTAGAGAGATGCAGATGAAAATAAGAACTTTTTTTAAAACTCAAAAGTAATAGAAAAGTAAAGTGTGCCTACTTCTCACCACACCTAGTATACTGGGAAATTACTTTAGAAAGCAGGCAGCTCATAACTGAGTGTGTGTATACATCTAAAAGCTCTTATCTATATCTGTCATTTAGAGCCAGAAATGCACTGTTCCATACTAATAGTGATATAATTGACCTTGTAGTTGTATGGATGGTATACATAATTGTATATTACGCAAATTTTTGTAAAAACACTTTAAAGAATGTATATAATTTTAGTTGCCTTATACACTGAAATTAGGTGTTTAGAATATTAGCCCTTCAAGTCTTGATTTGTTTCTAATTTGTGAATAAGGGGGCTGCTAAAGTGATTTCCATATTCTCTTGGTATCCTTCTCTCCTGCCTTAAGCCAGATTCCTCAGCAAGATTGACAGTCACTTAGAATTTTGTGTGTAGATGCTGCTTAGCCAACAAATTTCAGTTAAAAAGCCCAAACAAACAGAAACTAAGAAGTTTATAAGTTGATGGAGAAATCTTTGTTTCTGGTTTAAGCATCAGTTGAGACATAGGTTGAGTTTGAATCTAGAAACTTCAATTTTGTTGGAAATCTTCAGAAACTAAAAATATTTACACCTGTATATCTCTTAAATACAAGCTTGGCAAGGTTCATGTGGTGACTACTTTGCTTTTTGGTGTATGTGGGTTAAGTTACCCACACATTTTTCTGCTTATCTTCCAAACAAATTTTCCTCCATTCTTCCTTTGTGTCCCATTTGTAGATGAGGTACTTTGCTCCAGAAACTGGTAGGATGGGGCTAGAACATGGAGCACCACAGTGGAATATGAAGTGGACCAGGAATTAGCACTTTCCCTGGGTCCAGGCTTTATGTCTGTGTCACTCTGTATAAATCAGTCTCTCTTTAGTCCAGGGTATTGTGTTTGTCAGCCTTGTGAGGACGTTGAATATAGTTCTAATGTTAAGCAGGTATCTTCATTTTTTAATAATTTGATTTTAGTATAAACCAATACTCATAGATTCAAAATAGACATATGCGGAATATATACGAACCAATTCATTAAAATAGTGATATCAATCGAATATTTTTTTTTAGATACTGAAGATACTTACCATGTGGAAGAGACAGGTGAGGCCTTAATACTATTCTTTCTTAATTAGAATAAATCTTTTCCTTTAACTGCATTATTATGTGTGTGTGTGTGTGTGTGTGTGTGTGTAAATTATGATCAGTATACAAATCTACCTATTGATATTTTAAAATTAATATATCACATATGTATATAGTTAATAATGTTATATATTTTCATATAAGTGGATCTTTGTGAATGCAGTTTTTGTTTTGAAGTCTGTTTCCTGTGGATGAATCCCTCGTAGTAGGATTACTAGGTCAAAGGTGCAGTGGAATTGCATGCTTTGTACTGTAAATTAAAAAGTCAGTGAAGAGTCAGAATTGTGTTTTGTCACATGTCACATTCTCCTAAAATCATGACCACCTTGGAGGTGGACAAAGCTCCTTTCAGTGGTGCTTGAGCAACTCGTAGTGTTGTTCACTGGCCTTCCTACCTGAATGCTTTAACACTGTCTGTCTATAAACAGAACTGTTTTCTAGTCTGGGAGAAATGCCTTGTAGAGGATTCAGGCATCGAGTTTGGGTGTAGGCTAAGTGTGTGCTTTCCCAGACTCCACTGTGACAGGTGCTTCTGCATGGGTGGGAGGACCACTCTTCTGTACAACTGTCTTTGGGTTTCTGCCTGTCTTTCATTTTATTTGCCAACTGTACTTGAATCTGTTCTGCTAAGTGAAAATACAGCTCTACTATTCTGTGATTAGAGTATAAATCCTTATGATGAGAACCATCTAATTCATCTTTGTGTTTATTATTACATGCAGTTAATACCTACTGGTTCCATGAATGAACATGATTTATTGTCATGTTTTGATTTTACATTCCTATCATTACCAGGAATTGTGCATTTTTTATTTTCTAATGTCAACCCTTATTTGAGACATATTTTAAATTTTCTAATTATTTCCTAATTTATAGTTTCACAAGACCATCATCAGGATATGGAAGAGATAATGTATGACCAAGAAAACTCAGGTTTGTGAATATAAAACCAGTGATTTGTGTTCCTGTTTTGAGACAGTGGCCAAGGCCATTTAGGGGCTGTTCATAACATTTTAATAATTCTTTATTCTGTAGATATTTACAGAAATTTCTGAATGTAGTTTAATATTATTTGAGGAAATGTAGAGAAAGCGAAACGCATTTCTGTGATCACCATTGGATTTTGGTCTTTGTACATAGACATTGAAGAGACATTGTAGTCTGTTAGTCTTGGGATGGGTGAAAATCCTAGCTTTACTTTATCCCATCTTTACAACTTAGCAAATTCTAAAACCTTGCTCAGTTTTAAACTTTATTAAATGTTAATAGCTTCTGTCTTACAAGATGTTATAGGGGAGAATTTGACTGTGAGTCTTTTAGAATGGAATCTGGTAATTATAAGTGTTTAGTTTTTCATGTTGGCAAATGTGAATATTTTTCATTTCAGATTCCAGTGAACCACTAATAGATGAGGAAAGATTGCATCAGGAAGCAGGTATCAGATAAATACTTTCAGGGGATTTTAAATATTACTTTAGGTTTTTCAGTTGCATTATTATGTTTACATGGTGATTTTTCTTTCAAAGAAATAGAGCTGTGATTTTCACAAGATTTTTTGTAACATTTGTTTATTAAAAGTCTAGCAAGCATTCATATTTCACTCACCTACCGACACCACCATAGCAGGATGTTGAATCCTTATGTTAGTTTTGTATATCTTGCTCTGAGGAATTGTTATGAATATAATTTACCTATCCTTTCCTTCTGTTGCTGTTCGGTGAAGCATTTATTTGTAACAGCACAGACATTGATTTTAAAGGAAAAGAAATCTATATTTTAGAGCAAGGGATTTTTTTAAAGGCTAAGTTGTTTTAATGACTTATTAATACATATTTTGCCTCTGTCTCCCTCCTTCCTTCCTCCCTTTTTTCCTTCCTTCCCAGATGATGTAACATACCACGACTATGATGAACAAGGTGTGGAAATGCTTCTTAAGCTTAAACTATGTATTGTTTTAAATACACCTGTAGTATGACTATAAACTATTGAGAATTATGTTTTAAGTTATAAAAACTATAACTTAAAACATCCAAATAAATGATAGTCTACAGAGAATTCATTGGGGGAGATTGTTTAACTACACTAGTGGTTGTGCTCTTGTCTAAATAATTTCTTAAACTTTTCACAAGTTGTCTTGGGCAATTACAAATTGTTTGATAAAAAGATCTCATTATTTTATAGTCTTCTCTTTTTTAAGATATTCACAAGAATATACTTTAGTCTAATTGTTTCTACAAATTAATCCCCCTCTCAGAGGTGACTGATTTGTCATGTTAGGAAAAATTTGGTTTCAGGCTCAACAGCATCGTGGAAGAAATAGTTCTGTCAAGTATTTGGCAGGATCAGCCCTATTCTAATTTAAGCACTTGTTACTGCTCTTGTCTTCCAAGCATTTCATGTACTATTTTATTGAACCCCATAAACTAGATTATATTTTCCCTGCCTCCTGGCTGAGGGAAATAAGATTTTCAGAAGGTAAATAATTTGCCCAAGTTTGTATAACCAAGAAATGATAGAGCTAATGATGCATCTTTTTTATTGCCAGTGTCTTTAAAAATTACTGTGTCAAAAGAAGGAAGTCAACTTAATATAACTTTGTGTATAAAGGAAAAAGAAATGCATAATGGTTAATTGACTCTACAGGGCTTTCTATGATCTAGGTGCATTTAGGACTCATAATTCAAATATGAGTTACATAGGGTCTCTATTTCAAAGAATTTGTAGTTTCATGTTAGCTGGCGAGTCACAGTTGAAAAAAGTTCGACTTTCCTGTGTGTAGACTTGATGTGCTAATATGTAAGTAAGTGTTTAAGATTTAAGACCCTATCAAGACCCATAGTGGACGAATGAAGTATAGATTTTAAGAATTTTGTATGATCTGTAGGCAATATCCTTTTTATAACAAGTTAAAGAAGTTGACCAATGAGACTGGCTCTAAATTTTTTCAGTCTTGAATTTGGAGGAGAAAATAGAAATTTAGAAATAAAAACTTGTATATAGAGGTGGGATTTGAGATATTTTTCTTATTTCTACCTCTTTCATGTTTTAAAAAATATTAAAATATGTTTGGAATGCATTTTACATGCTAGATCTAGAGAAATTTAAAATCAAACTTGTAGGAAGTGTAAAATAAAGTAACATACTAAAATGTTGTTGTAAAATATATTTTCATAGGCAGAGTATCATAGTAAATGCACTTTAAAATGTTCAAAGGTAATGAGTATGATCAAGGGGGGCATCAAGATTTGGTAGGATGCTATAAGTCATCTTGATATAGAACATAAACTCTTTCCAACACAATAGATCTAATCAGAAGAGTATTCACTATGTACAAAAAATATAACTGTGTGGAAATTCAGGAACCAAATTATGGAAAACAAGTAATTGGCATATAATTGAAGCTATTAAATGGATGAGAAAAAAACTCTTATTTCAGTGGAAGATTGGAATATGCAATATTCTGTATTAAAATCTCCATTTCACAAACCAAAAAGCACATGGTTTGATAGCACTGTTGACAGATACCAGCTTTTCATATCACGAATATGTTGGAAAACCTCGAACTTGGGAAGTGAAGTTGCAGTTTTAACTGTCTTAATTGATTTATCTGGTCATATACTACATATTTATTATCCTGTATCGCAAACCTAGAATGCTGCAGCAGCTCTAGTGCAGGAGCACATGGCCCTTGTTCTGGATCTTATATTTTAGCTGGGAGATAGAAAGTAGAAATTTCACCATAGATTCCATCGTAGTTGTGGTAAATGCTAGTGAGGACCAGCATCGTCTATAACTGATGTCATAGGGTAAAGAGGCCTTACCTAGTTTTTGGCTGAGACAGCTGAAGGTGAAAGCAGCTGGCAAGGTGAGGTGAAAGGTAGCTGGACTGTTGGGAAGTCTCTGGTATGAATGTATGAGAATGAGAGCTGTGTAGCTGAGATGGCCAGGTGGTCAAGTACCAAACAATACCTGTGTGTGAAGTCAAAGAATTTATGTTCACCTAAAGGTGCCACACAGGTGCACTGCAAAATCAGATCTATATTTTGAAAAGACTGATAGTTCAGACATGTATGAAATAGACAAGAGAGACAAAAGTAAGTATGAGGAGATAGGTAATTGATGTCATCCTTATCCGATCTATATGAAAGGGAAAGCTGAAGGACATGAGTTTCATAGAGGCCATGTTCTTTGGGATCTTGTGCTGCTTTGGGCCATATGCAACAAGCACTGAAAACATGACTGAGGTCTAGTACCAGAGAGACCTCCTGGGTGACCTTGACAAGAACTGTTTCTCCGGACAGAGTGGACAGAGATGATAGTAATTTAAACCAGGGTGGTGGCAGCAAAAGTGGAGGGGAATGGCCAAAGCTGAGAAATGAATAGGAGGTAAAAATGACAGGATTTGATATATAGGTGTCACTAGAGAAAGAGAGCAGTATGCCGGGAACTGTGACCTCTTTTGGCTTGTTGCCTGGCAGCGCTTTTTCACTGGAAGACAGGAACAGGGGCTGGAGTACAGATCCATGTATGTGATAATGACTTTGCTCTGAGACATCTAAGAGAAAAGATCAGATAATCTGTTTGATGGTATAATTCTCTCAGAAGAGAACTCCAGCTCATGTTTTAAGGGTTTTAAATCAAGCTCTGGGATCCTTTAAGGATAAGGTAAAGGAGGCATAGCTTTAAAGGAAGGTCTCATCTAACACCCATTGAGGAAAGTATGAAATGATAAAGAAGGTTGAGAATGAGAGATGAAAGACTATATAGTGGAAACTTGTTTGGGAAGAAAGCATATTGCTAAGATATGCAGCAAGGCAGGGCTGGAAAATATACATCAAACTTAATGAAATGCTCCCTGGCCTGCCCAGCAAGAGCCTTTTCAGGGATGTGCTCTTGCAGGGGCGGGGGGCACAGACGGGATAGTTAGAGGAGGTGAAGTGAGGAGAGGAGAAATGAAAGTGAAAAGATAGTGACTCTTGGAAAAAATTAAATTGTCAAATGAAGGAAGAAGGGTAAAGAGAAAAAAAGCCCAAAATAGGGCTGCTTTTGTATTTTGAGGTCAGTATTTAAATACTGATTCTGCCTAGGGTGAGGGGGTGAACACACATTCCCTGCTTCTCCATCCTCCCAATGCCATCAGAACAACAAAGTGATTTAACCCCAATTCTGAGAATATCTAAAACGTAAGTGCTCAAAAATTGTTCTTTACTAAATGAATGAAAAGTAATAATTTCATAAACATTTGGGGAAAATAAGAATGTGTGCCCTTAGTGTATCAGAAAATTGGAGGTGTTCTGGAAAATACAATATTGAGGAAGCTGCCAGCCCCTGGGCACAGGAGAGGGTTTGCAAAGAGGAGCTTGCTTTGCAGCAGGGCAGAGCAGCTCTTGGCACTGGAGCAGAGCTGCTCCAAGCCCTTTGCCAGCAGAAGAGAGCAGAACTGGGCATAGGGCCCTGGTTACCATGGTAAATTAAGAGCCTGCCAACCCCTTCCCAGAGGCTAACAGTGGGCTATTTGCCCCCAGGTTAAATACCGAATTGTTCCCTCAACAGAGTAGGGAATCTGCCTGCTTAAAAACTGAGATCAAGGTGATTAGAAGGGGTGAGCATTGCTTGACTCAAAACTTCAACTTCAAACATGAAGAAAAATTGAAAAGGAAATTTGGTGTCACTTGAGAATAAAGATATTATTGGATACTTCAAATAAGTGATTGGGGGAGGAGCTTATTTTCCTCACTGTATAGGACACATGATTTTACCATTTCTGGCCAAGCAGTGGCCAGTCTGGATTTTTTTTTAATCTTTATTAAGTTTATTGGTATTATTTATGTATACAATACAGTTACATTCATCACAGGGATCTTGTACTTTTAGAAGACTTATCTTGATTCTTATTTTTCCCCAGTGCCCAGCTTTTCCTTCACCCCTCCACCCTTCTCTGTTTACAAAGACATTGTTTCCATGTTTTTTCTTTTTAAATAGTTTTTCTTTTCCCTTTTCCCTTTCCCCTACCACCCCCACTTCCTCTACTTTTTTAGACCTTTTCTTCCTATTACACAATATCAATTATACATTTTGATCCTTATTTAGACTTTTAGCTTTACACACCAGAGAAACTATTTGATATTTACACATGTGTCCTATTAATTTCACTTAAGTGTATAGCCTCAATGTGCATCCATTTAGCTATAAATATCTCTAGTTTTTCATTCTTTATGGCTGAGTTGTACTCATTTTATTAAAAAAAAAAAAAAAAAAACTCCACATCTTTATCCAGTCTTCAGTTGATGGGCAATTGGGCTGTTTCCAAATTTTAGCTAATACAAACTGTGCCGCTATACATGGGTGAGCATATATTTCTGTGGCATGATTCTTTTAATTCTTTTGGAAAGATACCCCGCAGAGAGATAGCTGGGTCAAATTGGACTTCTAATCCTAGTTGTTTGAGGTATCTCCATATTGATTTCCACAATGGTTGTACCAGTCAGCACTCCCACCAACAAAAGGTTCCTACCTCCCCACAACCCTGCCCTCATTTTTCATTGGTTGATTTCTTGATAGCAGCCATTGTTTCTGAGGTGAGGTGGAATCTCAGTGTTGTTTTCTTCTGCATCTTTGGCTAACCAGTGATTTTGTACATTTTTTTCATAATTTATTTGCTGTTTTTACTTTCTTATCTGAGAAATGTCTGTTTATTTCAGATGTCCATTTTTGAATTGGGTCTTTGTATTTGGGGGTTCTGATTTTTTTAAAGTTCTTTATATATTCTGGATAGTAGCTCTTTGAGGAACAGCTGGAAAAAAATTTTTCCCACATTGTTGGTTGTCTCTTAGCTCTGCTTGTGTTTTCTCTGACAGTGCAGAAACCTTTTAAGAAGATGATATTGCAATTGTTGATTCTTTGTGCTAGTTCCCATTCTACTGAGGATTTGTTATAGCATATTGTTTGATTTTGCTACTTTATCCATTCTGGCAGTCTGTTTCTTTTGATTGGTGAATTGAGGCCATTGACATTGATATTTATAACTGATATGTATTGACTTATCATTGTCCTGTTATTTTCCTGTTGTTGGGTTTTTATTTTTCTCCTTCTCCCTTTAAATTCTTGCCTATTAGATTTGCCCTGTTGGGCTTTATGGAGTTTTGTCCTTCATTGTTCTTTTCTAGGATATTTTAAAAAATTGTTTGGAGTATTGGTTTGGTATTCATGACGTTTCTCAGGTGTTCTTTGTCATGAAAACATCTCCATCAATTTTGAAAGATAGTTTTGCAGAGTACATCAACTTAGGTTGGAGGTTGTTTTATTTTAAAGCTTGAAATACCTCACTTCAGGCTCTCCTTGACTTGAGGCTTTGTGTTGAAAAGTCTGTTATGATTCTGATGGCCTTTTTTTGCATGTAATTTGTTTCTTTTCTCTAACTGCTTGTAGTATTTTTTACTTCTGTTGGGTTTCTGGAATTTTGATTTTTATATGTCTAGGTATAGATTTTTTTTTTATCATAACTAGTTGGAGTCCTGTATGCCTCACTTATCTGTATATCAAGTTTTTTTCTCTGTTTGGGAAGTTTTCTACTATTCTGTGAGCAGTTTTTTTTATGTCATTTTTGCTTTCTCCTGCTTTTTCTTGGACTCCTTGTAAGCTTATATTATTATTCTTGCATCATCTAGGATCTGTTGGATTGATTTCTCATGGTCCCTTACTATTTTTAAGAGATCTCTTTTCATGGTCACTGACCAACATCCTGTCTTATATATCTGATAGTCTGTCTTCAGATTGGGTTAGTCTGCTATGTGTACTTTTAATAAGGTTTTAATCTCCTGGATATCAGTTTGAATCTGTTTCATGGATTCCATTTCTTAATGTTGGGCTTTCATCATGGTCCTGATCTCATCTATTTTTTTTTTTATCTGTTTCTCTTCTAGAGTTTATAATCATGTCTTTTTTCTGGGAAATTATTTCTGTTTTAAATAGCTCTACAGCCTCGTTCACCTGTTTTTTTTTTTTTTTAACTTCCTGTGCTATCAGTTTAGATTGTCCAGGCTGTTGATTATCAGACTTTTCCATTTCATTTCCCCCAGAATTTGCCTTTGGTAAGCTGGACGACTGTGTCTTGTTTAAATCTCTTTTCATTTCTATTGTTGTTGGTAGAGTTCTTGGTTTAATTCCTGGGTTGATGCTTCAATATTACTTATTGTGGATATTTTTGATGCTTGTATTTAGAACCTTTAAGGAATGATTGCTTCTGAGAGATGTCTTCCAGATATAGCTGATCTTTAGGATTTGAGTCTCTAATAACTCTGGGGCAATCTCATTTTCATTATACCACGAAAGATAACTGATTAGATCAATCACAACACTAGCCCAAGTACTGCAATCAGCAACAACAATAGAATCAAACACAGCTTAGAAAATGACAATTGTGGTAGGTATTAATCTATCACTTTTAACTGAAATAAAATGAAATCGAAGACTATTCCAAAATATATTTATAATGAATAAACCGATCAGTACAGTAAGTTTACTCTTTGGGATTGGGACTTAGGAGTAAGTCCCTCTTACTATTATTCACTTCTGCTCTAGCTCAGGGAAATGACCTTTAAGACCCCCTGTTCCTCTGCATTATAGATGAAGAGCAGGCATAGCCTGCAGGCCAGAGGTGCAGAGTGGGGTGGGAGTTGGTGGGGTGGGGGTTGGTTTGAGTTGGTTTGCTGAAAGCAGGTGTGGAGCTCCGATCCTCACTGGTCCATTAGTGGCAGGGAGGCCTGGTTGGGGAAGGGGCTTGTGCCAATGTCTTCACACAACTCCTGACTTCACCGGTTTGCTGGTAGTCTGGAGGCCTGGGTGAGATTGGGGCCCACACAGATGGCTTCACGCAGCTCCACAGCTCCCTTCCTCACAGGTTCATTGGTGGAAGGGAGGCCTGTCTGGAATTTGAAGCCAGGCCTATTTCAAGGAGTTATTTAGACTTTTCCCCCTCCTTATTGTGTAGTCTGCATTTTGCAGTTACCAACCCTGGATGTTCAAATATTTATAAATAAGACAAAGCCTGACATCTGAAATGAGTTTTTTCAATTACTGGTATTATGGAAGTTATGCAGTGTTAAAGGATTATTTTTTCTGTTTGCTTTATAGTATATGAACCTTCAGAAAATAATCCCATAGAAATTTCATGTGCATTTTTTTTTCTTTTCTGTAAACAGATCGTACTTATAAATCAACCCTTTACTTCATATATTAAAGCTTTTATAACTTGTGGGTAAATGAATAGTTAAAATGGGAAATAGAAGATATTTTTAAGTCACTGAGAAATCAATTGGTTATTTCAATATAATTGTCCATGGCATCTGCAATGAGATTGGTTCCAGCATGTCCCACAGATAACAAGAAAATACTACACCATTTTATAGAAGGAACTTGAGGCCTGTGCATAGCTCCCATGTACTTTAAATCATGTCTACATTACTTATTTTGCTAGTGAAATGTAAATGCTCTGTCAGTAGTTATATAGTATTGTTTACAGAATAAGGACAAGAAAAAAAGTCCCTACATTTTCGGTAATGATGCAGTTTTTTCTCCAAATATTAAAAATCCTTGGTTAGTTGAATCTGTATGTAGGACCTGCAAATAAAATAAAACAATTATTGTGTTTACTCCATAATTGATAGTACAAGTTTTATTTCATTAGGGATAATATTTGATGCACTCTTTGAGTGTAATTTAGAGATTAAAATTGATATAAATATTCATGAATCCATCCATGAAAGGACCCAATCTAAAAAAAGCCGCATTTACATATCTGAGTGGCTATTAGTTGCTCAAGGGATCTGAGTTAATATGTGTTTGTTTGTTTTCAGATAATGCTATAGAAGATTCAAATTTAATTTCAGAAGGTAAGTTCATTTTATAGAAATAGTTATACAATAGTTTTATAGAAATAGTTTTCATATTAAAGGTATGTTTACTCAGCATATATTGAACACTTCCTATTTCTTAGCTATACAGTGTTCTCTCGGGAGCTAGGAGTACAAGTGAATGAGATGGAATCCCTCTTTCTATTAGGGCTGGCATTCCAGTGACCAGACAGATGAGTAAAGTAATTAAAGATTATAAGCAGTATAAGGATGATGGTAAAAGCAATACAAATAACTGATAAGGGCACAGAGGGTTGCCTTGAACAGGAGTACATGATCACTTAAGGAAAGTGATCTGGTGAGAACGGGTTAGCTGTTGGCAGAGATGGCTTAAAAGTGAGGTTTTTTATGTTGTTATTCAGCTGGGGGATGGATTCCCTCTTTTTTGGAAAATGAGGGGATGGTTTCTGAAAAATAAAAATAGTTATATATATTGTATTAAGTAGTGAGACTTCACTCAGCTTAGGTTCACGTAGCTCATAAAAGCTTACAAAATTCACTTGTGTTATATGTCAGGTGCTCCTCACAGTAGATGTGAAGGAGACAAGACAAAGATCCTTGTTCTGATTTGCAAATGAGAAGCTAAACAACTGAGATCAGATGAGGTCAGGTGAAGTCAGGACGCCCCTGGTTCATGTGCACAGTGACAGCCAGCTCCAGCCCTGGGCCCTGGAGTGGTGTCCTTTCACAGTAGCAGCCGGCCACCCAAAGCATGAAACAGAGAGAACTTTGCTCATAGCAAATTCCAAGATTCACTGTTGAGTAGCTAGTTGTTAGTTTTCATATTTAATGCTACCTTTTTTTCTATGTTGAGGATTGAACACAAGAGCTATACCGTTGAGCTATGTTCCAGCTAAATGTTATTAGCTGCTTTGTCTGAGCTTTGTGTGGCAGACTGGATAATACTATAATTAATGGGAAAGGTGGGAGATAGATGTGAAGAGAATGGGGAAGACTTAAGTGTGCCTTCCTTGTCAGCCTAGCTGTGGGAGGACCCCTGCATAGGTGTTATGGCTCACTGTTTCAGCAGGATTTATTTCGAGATAGCAGGGGTGCATGGAGTTGAGGTTTTCTCCCATTATTCACTACTCTATAAGCAATATTAATTTTCTGAAAAATATCACAGAGTCTATATTTTGTTTTAGTAAGAATTAGAAAATGGAGGTGCTGGGGATATAGCTCAATGGTGTCATGCCTGCCTTGCATGCTAAAGGTCCTGAGTTCAATCCTCGGTACAAAAAAGAGAGAGAGAGAGAGAGAGAGAGAAAGAATTTAAAAAATAGAAACCCAAATCTCCAGGAAGAACTTCATGTAACCTCCCCTGCCAATGTTTTATGTAAAACAACCAGTGTCATCATTTACAATTTGATCCCATCTTTCCTGAATTAGATAAAGATATATTTTTTCCTGAAATTTTCTGGTGTTTTGAGAAGCCAACAGACTATTGAGGGAGTTCGCTCTGATAGACTGTGGGGCTCTGGGCTGTGTACCTTCAGCCTAACCTGTAGCTTCTGTGATGGGCTCTTGCAGTACCTGAGAGAACCAAGCTGGATTCACACCAGCTGGCTTCCTCTTCCCTCACTTGGCTTGGCAGGTTGCATCAGTAGATCTTTGGATTCCCAAACCAGAAACATGGGAGCCACTATTGAATTCTCTTCTCCCAGTGTCTAAGTAAACCCAGGTCCTGTTAATAGACTCCTGTAATGCTTCTCTGATCCATTTTTTTCTATGTAGCTCTTATACTAGTAGTCCATTTGGACCCTCATCTTCCTAGATAATGACAGTAGCCTGCTAGCTGATCTTCTTCCTTTTTCAAATCCATTTTTCACCAAACATTAGGGCTATCTGTGAAAAAATCTGTATCTCACTATAGCACTTATATACTTACGCAGATATTGTGTATCTGCGTCAGAAAGGCTATTTTCAGTTGTAGATAATAGAAAAATAAAACAAATTGTCTTAAGTTATAAAGAGGGGAAGATTAGTTTGGGCCTTCAAAGGAATTTGAACTTCATTCTAGATGTAATAAGAGCTAATGGGAATACTTAAAGTATAACATAATCAGACTTATGTTTTGAAGAATTGCTTCTACCCCTAAATACTATAGAATGGATTGGATAGAACAAGAATGGATGAGGGAATGACCCTATTAAGGACGAGACTGTGGTATCCCAGAATGAGATCATGGTTTGAGAATGGAAGGCAGAGTGTTGAACTTGAGATTTATTTTATGTGGCTTTTTTTTTCTTTTTCTTCAAACCCAGAGCCTTGCACATGCTCCACAAGTGCTCTATTATTGAATGCTATACAATTAAAATTGATGGATTTTTTTTTTGCTGGTGTGAAACAAAGATGGGTGCATTCGGGGTGGTATGACCATAGACTGTTGTGAAGCAAAGAGAGGGAATAAAATAGTGTTTGGTTTGAGTGATTCCTTGATGATGGAGTCATTTATTGAGAAGAAGAAAACTAGAATGTAGAGAAAACTAAATTAGGGGAGAAAAATCAAAAGCTCCACAGTAGGCACTTGTAAGTTTGAAAATTATGTGAGATATCCAAGTGGAGATATCAAGTATGGAGTTACACCAGTCTCAACTGATTGGGCAAGATCTGAGATGGATATGAATGTTTGTAAACCATCATCTTGGAGGTGGTAATAAATCCATGGGAACCAGTGTGGTCAATTTGAAAGTAAGTAAAAGAATGGGGAGGGTGTCCCAAGACTGAGTGCTAAGGACCTTTGACATTATAAAATTTAACGGACACTGAACAACCAGTGAGTCAGGAGGAAAATATGTCAGAAGGAAAAGAGGAAATAAATTGTATATGGCTGATTGGCCCTGACTCTCGAGGCTGGGAATTCTCTGTCACATTTGGCAACACTGAGAATTTGTTGGTCTTCTCAGAAGCCATTGGAGTAATTGGTGAGAGACAAAGCCACACTGAGTGAAGTGGATTCACAAAGTTCTGGGGTAAGAAGAAGCAGGCTATATAAATTAAATAGGTAATGCTTTCAGGTTGTGTTGCTATAACTAATTTGCTATTTTATGTTTAAAATAATATAAAATGATATAAATAAATCATAAATCAAAAGTTATAGAGTTTTTTATGATGTGTATTTTTTGAGAATAAAATTAGATGAAATTTTAACTTGGGATGCTAATAGCTTTTTTAGTATAATATCAGTGAAGAAAATAACAGGAAGTGTAATACATTAACAGTTGTTAGAAATATTTTTGGTTATTAAAGTTTCCTTTTATGTAAAATATTTCCAAATATTTTGTTTTGAGCATGTAACATTTTTATAATTAGCAAATTGAAGTAAGAAAAAAATGATTTTAAGAGCTTCATAAATATTTTGAGTGTTAGAAAAACTACTAGAAAGACTTGCTTTTGACCAAAGCATATTATAACTGGTAAGGACCAAAAGGGAAGCTGAAACAATCTTCTTCAGATTGACATATTAAAGGGTTGGTAGGTTTTTAAGACATTAATATGTGATATAATTTCATAGATCAAATGAAATAAATTCATCTTTATAACATTGGGTAGTGAATGCTTGCAGTCTGTAGCTGTAATTGGGTTGAAGCAGCCAAGGAAAAAAGACAAGATAGTAAAGTTCACATCCACATTACTGACCGGTCACTAGGGACTAGGAGTGTATCTGGCTCACTAGCAGAGCACATGGGTGTGACAGGACCTGGGATCAATCCTTAGTACAGAAAAGGAGTTTAGCTTGCAGGTTATTTTTCAAAAATGATAAGAATGGTATTTGATTTTAAGATTCAACTTGAAATTAATTTATTTACATTGTCTAATTGCTATTAAAGTTAGTTATGAGCCAAAAACTTTTCAAGAATTATTTGCAGGATGTGGCTTACTGGTAAAATGCCTGCTTATTAGCGTGTACAGGCCCTTGGTTTGATCCCCTGCACTCCCAACAGCTCTCTTTCCAAAAACTTTTCAATAAAAAATTCTTTAATGATGAAACAAGATGCTTTATGTGTCTGTCCTCAGTTCGGTTATCAAGTTTGATGTAAGACTGTGGCAAAAATCTAGGTTTTAGTTCATATCTCATGTGCCAAGCAATAGGTCAGAAAGATAATATAAAAACTGTTGTACAAAGCACTTGAGAAATATATAGCATTTTGCTCACTTATAGCTATTTTTTTTCTTTGTTGGGATGATGTGAAAATGTGATGTTTTCATGATCATTGCAGTTGAATTTTTTTGTACCGGGAATTGAACTCAGAACCTTGCTCTTGCAAGGCAGGTGCAGCGCCACTGAACTAAATCCCCGGCCCTTGAAATTGAATATTTTAAGTCTGTAAAAATGATCACTGTAACTAATGCAGTATTATTAATATGCATTTTCAACTCTGTCCAATAACATTTAATGGATTGTGACTTTTTTATTTAGAAGTAAATGCTACCCCTGTGGAAGAACACCAGGAAATACCACCAGGTATGGAATTTTATTAGATTTATTCTAGTTTCTGTTTTTGCTCAGTTTTACAGTGCTGTTGATATTAATACTAACATTATGACATAAATCTATGAAGGGTAAACATCCTGAGAGAAAAAGACTGACAGTACCCAAATTTTTAAAAAACCTATGCTGAGCAACTGAACCAAAATAATTGAAAATACATATTCAATTCAGCTTAGTACATATATGTTATGCTGAAACTGGGGTAATCAAAGTATCATGTGATTTGGCCATTACGGGTGAGAGTAGTAGTAGTAGTAGTAGTAGTAGTAGTAGTAGTAGTAGTAATGTTTTTGTTTTTGGTTTGTTTGATTTTAATTGTCAGGCCATTCAATACAGATAGTGAGTCAGAATTGCCTCTGGTGAAAGCTGAATTTTGTGTCATTTGTTCCTTTTCTTGCCCATCCCTGGCCTTGATGGCATGTTGAGGCCCAGGCTGCCTAGGGCTTGCTAGTACATGGTGGTCTTTTCTTTCAGCCTACTACTTGAATCCCATCTTTCTACTCTTCCCTGTGTCCCTTCTTATTCCTCTTGCCACCAGTGAATTTAAAGAATGGGAATAGCTGTCCATCAAGACCTGTACTTCCAATTGCAAATGATATAGACTATACTTGTGAGCAGAAACTGGAGCATACATTCCTCTTCTTCCCGTGGGGAGGAATGCTCTTTTATATCCTATCTCTTCCTCAAGCATATCGCTTCTCATTTCTGTTTTAGTTTTCTTTTTTCTTTTTGTGTCATATGTAATGATTCAGTTTTTGTTCATATTTTTCACATTGTGCTTGCTGTGAATTTTGTAGCTGTGATATACATTAATGAGTTTTGGTACCTGCCAAAATTAATTGAATACTAAATTTCCTGATTAAAAAAAGAATAAAATAATGAAAGAATAGTTGTAGTTGTGCTTCAGATGTCTTCACTTACTTTATGAATGCGATGTTTAGGTTTTGATACTTGTCATACCTTGTACATGTATAATAATTTGCACAAATACTAGACCTACATTATTGGTATCACAATGTGAATGGGAAAAAAAATTGAGAAATTTATGTGATAATTATGGAACAACTTATATTTTGTATTTTAAAATGATGGGCAGGTCAAGTAAAGTTGATAGCTATGTCCATGATTTTACTAGTTTTTTCTCTGTTGTAGAGTTATGCTTGACAGAGTACCCTGTTCTGTTTGAAGAAGGAGAAAAGGTTATAGAATTAGTATTTTGAATACTATACTATTCCTTTAAAGATAATTATTTTAAGAATTTCTGGAAAGGAGTTTGTACAGCATCAATCTTTTTGTAGTTAGGGTTTATATTTCTAATATTGATATAGCCAGTTTAAAGATATGAGATAATAGTTTTAACCATAAATAGCTATACTTATATTTCAGTGTTCTGAAAACTGATCCTGTGAATTTCTTTGGACTATAAATATAAAACACCAAGTAGTTAGAATATTGGAATAAGATGAGACAGTTAACAACCACAACCAAAGCACATAAAAATGAATGTTTGAGTAATGTGCATAATATCTGACATATAATAAAGTTCTAGGAAATGGTTGCTATGGCTATTGTTGTTTAATAATTAATGAGCTTGATCTAGGAGGTAGATCAAGAGAAGCTAAATTCTGAAAGTTCTGATCAGAAAGTTGTAACCTATAATGTGATGTTGTAAAAATTGTTTGAGCTGCTGCATAGTTGTAATTTGACATTACCAAAAGAGAATGTAAGGCTAATAGTCAATAGTAGTCATTTTTTAAAAATTGCACTTGGCTTACTTAATACTGTTTTACTCTTATTGTTAGTATTGCTTCATATTATAGTTTTTGCTATTATGCAAAATAATATTCATAGGTGTATATTAGTGATACTTTTGTGCAGTCAATTGACTGCTCATTAGTGTTTATTTATATAACTAATTACAGGAACACCCACTGTTGGACCTGTCTCCTCACTACTTTTCAGTTATTAAGCTGTTTTGATTCTGTGGAAAACTCAAATTGAAAATTTGCAGAATTCTGGATATTAGGTCACTTTTTCCTGGCTCTTAGACTGAATTTATTAATTTGGTCTTCCCTGATCATTCAAAGACTAGGTTATACTATCTTACTCTAAAGTTCATACCAATACTGTATTCTAATCCTATGGGGGCATTATCACAATTGTAAACAGTCACATGGTAGGAGACAGTGATGGCCAGCAATGGTTCTAAGCACATTTCATGGGCTTAATCTTTAATATTTCCAGTTCTCTAAGAGGTAGGCATGCTATTATCTCTATTTTACAGATGAAAACAATGAGGCACAACAAGGAAACCATTGTAAGCCTCATAAGTCACAGAGCTGATGAGTGCAAGTGGGCTTTTGATCCTTGTGTTCTGGATTGAGAATTCACAGTCTTGGCCACTAACACATACAGTAGTTTAAATAAGTGAAGGATGAAGAGCTGATAAGTTTTGAGAATTGTTTTGGTGTGATAAAGTGATTCATGTCATATTCTTTGGAATCTTTCTCTTAATCTACATGAGTTCATCACTTAGGATTCTGGAAGATTAATTTATGATTTTTAGTAGAAAAGTAAGCTGTCCAGTAATTTAAATTTTGTATCTCTTATATTTATAAATGCCTTGTGGATAGATTGTTGTTGAGAATGTAGAAGGTCAATCCTAAGAATTGGTCATTCTGATGTTAAAAGTTAATCACTTTGAAATACCTAATTTTTAAAATTAATTTTGGAATTCCTTGTAATAAATTGTTATCTTTCTCCACAAACATATTTTTGCTTGAAGTCATATGGTTTATTCCTAGCAATATGATAACAAATATACGTGGCAAAATTATTTACACAGTTCATTAGAATAAAATTTTCTTCAAAGTAATACTTACGGCCTTCTGACTAGGTGGATTTAATTAGATACTTTGTCTTACTATGCCAAAAAAGAATAATTAAAAGGTTAATTTTATATTTTATTTTTATTTGGAACAGAGACATCCGAGCATCATGATTTCTGGGTGATTCTGTTTCCTGGTTCTGAAATTGGAGATAACATTTGCAGTTCTGGAGTGATTAGCAGGAGTAATAATTTTCCTTCATTGCATCCATCCAGAACTCCTATTCAGGCCTTTCTCACACACAGCATTTTTAAACACTGATCATTCATGTCAAAAACTTAGCTTTAGGCTGGCAGCACTGGAGGTTGGAGTCAGTGGCAATTGACTTCATCTTTATAGGATCTTGTCTTAGCTACTCTCATTTCTGGGATGAAATACCCAACAACTACAAGTTCAAAGAGGAACTTTTTATTTTAGCTCATATTTGGAGATATCTCAGTACTAGTGAGCTGGTGCCAAGGCAAGGAAGCATGGCAGAGGAGAAACAATCTATGGTGTGGCAGACAAAAAGCAGCCAGCAGTGAGTTGTCCTTTCTTTTTTATTCCATTCAGGCCACGAGCCTATTGGTTGGTGCTAGCCATACCCTTGTTAGCCTCCCCATTATGCACACCCAGAACTATGCTAAACCAGTCAGTGGATTAATCTAGTTATTTCATCCATAATCTAGTATTACACATGCATGATCCACCCACCTCCCAAAAGCCCCACCTATGAGTACATGAGGTTTTGTGGGAACATGTAAATATAAGCCACAATAGAAGTATTGGTTATCAAGGGCTTTATATGAATGTTATTATTAATCTTTAACTTATCCAAGAAGCATATGTTGAACAAATACTGTGGTATAGACTCTGCATTGACCAAAGAAACTACATAATCAATAATGTAGTCCTTGCTTGGAGCCTGTACAGTGGAGTAAAACAAATGTGATGGCATCAGTTTCTCAAAGTGGTACACAAGGCAGTTCTCAGTGGGAGGGCTAATTCACCCAGCCTTAGAAAGAGTGGTACAGAATGAGAAAAGGCTTTCTTCATGACACTGTGCTACTTTTATCTGAGTTTTGAGCCGCTGGTTTAAGTTATAGGAATGGGTGTGGAGCAAGTGCTTACTGAGCAGAAACCAAAATATGAATGTAAGAAGACAGTGAGGGAAAGTAGGCAGTCATCTCAGTGTCTTTCTATCATATATGAGAGTTTAGATCTAAGCTTTAAAGTAATGGGAAGCTACTAGAAATTCCAAGCAGAGAAGTCACATGATCAAATCCTGATTTGGAAAAGGAGGTAGAGACAAATAAGGAGCCACTGTGTTAATCTAAGCCAGAAATGGTGGGAGCTTGACTGGTAGAGTGAATGGGAAGGAGGCGTCTTTGTCAGTGTAGTTGGAGATGGAAATAATTTGATGGGAGAGGAGTTAAGGATGATTCCTGGATTTCTGTCTCAAGCCCTTGAAAGGGGATAGTGGAACCTTAATGGAAGTGCAGAATGCAGGAGGGACAGAGGACAGCAGAAGAGAAACCAGGCCTGGTCTTAGAGGTGTTATTTACACCCTGTGAATAACTTCTGAGTGGAGTCTTTAAATTGGAGTTTATATTTATATTGTTAAACTTGCAACTGAACTTTCAGTTTATTTGCTTTTTTATGAATACTTATCATTGTACTTTAAAAATATTGTTTATTGGTACATTTTAATGTATATAATACATTTGTGTATTATATGTGTATAATACAATGTGTATAATACAATTTAATTCATCTTTGGGATCTTGTATCTTTACAGGACTTAAGAGAAACTAAAGTCAAACTCAGTTAAATAATTTTTTTCTAGTGAGGTATAATTTACACACTAGGAAGAGCTTAAATGTCATTTTTTGCATTTATGTACACATCCTCCTATCACTACTCCACTCAAGCTGTAGAAAATGTGTAGTGCTCCTAAAGCACGCCCCTCAGTGACACTTCCCCCTTCCAAAGACAACTACTGGTCTTATCTAGACTCCTTTGTCTGCTTCTAAATTTATCGTTACTATGTAACTGGAATTCCCTTGCCCCGATTTTGTGACCAGTTACATATATTTATTGCTCAGC